TACGATTTCATATTTTAAAGCAGATTATGTAAGTGCCTTGTTTTATCGAAACCAAATCGAAGTTTGCATAATACAGTGATTTATGCTATTTTCCAGCATGAAAAAATACTTGAAATGCCAACATCCCGATTTGCAAATACTAGCTTTGATTCATTCAAAAATATGCGCTGTTTTTGAACTTTTCCTCTAAGAAAAATAGATTAGTGGTCGGCTCTGACATAGTAAAACCTCGTTATATTAATCGCAAGAAAAAGTATCAAAATTTCGGCCATATAATTAGGTATCACTTCCTCCAGGACAAACCATACCTTCAATTTTACTCCGGGGGCAGGCGTCGCTGAACTCCTACTTTCCTTGAATAAGGTCGCAACTGCAAACGACCATTTCATCAATCAGTGCAAGAATCAAGGCTAAATTTTATGTTATGAAAATGTCCTCCAAAATGAATTCTTCTGTTTTAATGGCTAAGGTGGTATTTGATGTCATGCTATCTGTTCTATGAAATTCTAGCCAGTAAATAGCCGAAATTTTTCACCATCACGTTTGTCAATAAATTAAATACGTTAGTCTGGCCATGATTAAGTTTTCGTTGTCTCTTCAGAGTCTTTGAAAAAGTTTTAGCACTTAGAGAATCACGCTGATCTTAACACCAGTCAATTTTTTAATGTAAGATTGATCATGAGTCTTGCAATGAAGCTTTTATTTTTTTGAAGGAAATTTCAAGAAACTCATCAAACAACACTTTGAGTGCATCTGAGTCAAATTTCACCAAAAAAGTGGCACTTTCACGGAACGAATAAAATGCTTCTTCAGTGTCCTTAGGCACAAGCAACAAACAGATGGCAGTCTTTATTATAACTGCCGACATTTGAACCAAGCAAAATTCACCATTCTCAAGTCAAACAACGAACTAAAGAAAAGTGTCGACCTTCCGGCCTTCGCACCTGAGTATTTTCACATGGATGAAAAACTGCAAGACACGAAATCATGCTAAATGAATGAGATTTCTGCCATCCTCTGAACCGGATTCTGGCACTACCAAGTGAAACGCATGAGCGCCTCTTTTGTTCATGGTTCATATTCGACATGTTCAGCCGTAGGAACATATTTTTATGAGGAAAACTATGGGAGCCCCCGCAGCGTCCGGTAGTCCAAGAATATTATGGAATGGCACTACGTTGGACGAAGTGGACCATTCCAAGTACCCGAAACAGATGGCGACACTGATTCCGAAATGAACCGACAAATTGGACTGACATCAGCAAATTATGACAAGTTGTGTGTAACGTATGTAAGGGTGTACATGAAAATCAACATTATGAAAACAGCCGTATCCTCGAAAAATCTGTCGTTCTGAAGTGTCATGGATCTCATTTAGGCAGCTTATAACAAAGCTGGTTGCGCAGCATTTGCAAAGTGAGATGGTAGTCGCGGATGATGAACGAGCAAATGCTGATGACCACTGGTCTTAGCAAACTATCAGATAAATTCAAACATCAGCGCCCAAAAAGGTAATCGAAATTTATTCGAAACTTTCCTCTCTTGGTATTCGCAAACGCGTAGAAAGACAATCCATGATGTGCACAAAACAACTCGTTGGTACACCCCTTCTTGCGGAAAGGACCCTTGTCACAGCAATGAACTACTTCTACGGATGGTCACATAATAAATCTAGGTTACTCTGTTGTTTAAGCCCTGTTAACGTCATGTTAAAATGAGGAAAAAACAATAACAAATTATTATGCTTGTTCGAGCGAGGGCTCGAGAAAAAAACTGATGCGAGACGCATCTGGAACTGCAGCAAATGCTCAAACATGATGGAGATGTACCCTGCTTAAATGAACCTTTACGTAACTAGCAACAGCCAGTCGGCTTTGAAATCCTATCTTGGAGCAATTATCCAGCTATCCACCAGACTGTTTTACCTGAAAAGACTATGCAATTTGCATGCTCCATAAGAATGAGTCAAAATCTATCTGCAGTAGAGATCCAAGCAATGGAATTTCATCCTTTTGGATAAGATTCGTGAGACTTGGGCCGAAAAGTTGATATTGGTCAATAATTGGATTGACCACCATTTGGCACAATGTGAGATGGAACCATTTCTGTTGAATGGACGAAAGACAGTAACTCTGGTGGGTAATTAAACTCACAATAATTAGACAGGATATTTTATGCATAATTAATTTAGCTACCTGAAAGGCTAACGAGAACAAGCAACCTATTTGATCAAATGGCATAGCGTTATGAACTACCTATATAGGATTAACATTGGGACAAGTCTATGGTAAATATAAACTAACTGAACATGCTACAACATTCCTGCAGCATTCATGTCGCTTCGAAACCGTGAAGCTAACAAAGTATATGTTGAACAGACCAGCGGGCCAAAAGGCCATGATCCTATTACGCTTGGAAAGTGATCACTGTGCTATCAATTACGCTATATTTTAAAGGGCAGTCGTTTGTTGTCGCTTATGCCTGAGAACCGAGCCAAAGCTCGATCATACGTGCTACTTGCGTTGAGTGCAAAACGAAGTGTCAAAGAGGAAAATGTTTAAAACATATGCATTCGTGAAAAGAGGTAAGAAGTCGTGACTTAAGCGAAGAACCAACGATACTATAAGTTCGGCAGATTCCGCTGAATCGTCCTCTGAAATGAATGTACAATTTTTTGCATTCTGCGCTTTGACACTTGATTGTAACTTAAAGTGTAAGGTGTAAGACTGAGGTTAAACAACCAGCACAATTTCGGACTCGTTTCAACAACTTCAAAAGTCGCCATCAATCATTCGTCGTTAACAACAAGACCTTTGTGTCATTTAAATGTGGCATCTCTAAAGGATGTGTCAATTTAAGACCGACAATGAACCAGGGTTCACTGGAAACTCTGAAACAATAACCTTTTCATTCACCTACCACTGATCAGCTGCACATACGATCATACCTTAGCCAGCTAATCGTCCAGATCAATAGCCAATTTTTACACTGACACTCTGTGTTGGATTACAAGGTGCATGTGTACGACAGTATTGGACTTATCCCTGTGTCTAGGATTATTTTGAAGGGACCATATGGAGATTCACAGGTGGCATTTTTTGGTATCTCTGACCAGAACACCACCTTGTGAGAAAATATACAATCCTGCAATCATCTCCAGATCAAATCAGAGATGTTAGGGCCAAACGTTTGAAATTTTCGAAGACTAAGCACTTCGACAAATACCGACTGCATTAGCAACTTCAGACCATCTCCCATCTGTTAAACTATGCCACTTCAATTTTGGAACCCTTCATATTTTGTCTGCCTCTCTATGACGATGTTCAGTGCTCTTACAGATAGAGTTAATTTATCAACTGAGCGAGCTTGGCCTTAACAGCGAGTCAGATATGACTCAACACGCCAGCGTGTGTTTAACTGTAATTCGTACAACGAATAGTTGAAGAAAAACAGTTAAAATCTCATCACCCGTTTAAGAATATATAAAAAAATAGTTTTGCTTAGCATATTCGAATTTTCTTACCGGACACTCCGATGGCGAGATAGACTCCAAACGCGACGGCGAGCCCATAGGCGATGGTGACGGTGAAAAACGAGTTCAGAGCTCCTTTGCTGAGTACCATTTGTGCAACAGATCCGTCGCCGAGAGCCTGCAAAAATACAATGAGGCGATGTGAGGAGATCGAGATCGGCTGGCACTCACCACCAGAAACGCTGTCCCCAAGAACTCGGCGAGCAGGATGCGGACAGGGACCAAATTCGCTCCAAAATAATCGGCTAACACCGAGCGCAGATCGTACATGTCTGTCAGTTGCTGGTCGTCACTCAGAGATGGAGACTGAGATTGACGCAGAGTGCACCGCAGAAGAAAGCTGCTGGGCTGTCGTCGGTCGTCGCTCGTTCG